TCTCCTCTCCTCTCGAGTGACTCTGGCAGTGTCTGCAGTCCCGTGGCCCGGGTGTTGCAGTTATGATCGGAAGGGGAGCGGCGAGCTCACTGTCCTCAGCGGGCCGTTGTCCGGGGTCGGTCGGTGTGGGGGCTGTGTGACGGCTGTCACCGTCTCCCGGGTCGCGGACCCTTCACTCACCTCGTCTCTCCCCAGCCTTGGATTCAGTGTCTGGTGCTCCGCCGACCATGACAAATGTCAACACAACAGCGATGCCTTGGGGCAGTGACGGCCAGGTGATCCTTCCCAGCGTCTCAGTCCCAGCGGGAGCTGGAGAAGCCGGGCAGAGTGGCCCCATGCCAGGGACCAGCGCCTCTCCTGCCACCCTCGCACCCACACCCAGTGAGACTGAAGGGACATTGCAGACCGCTGACAGCCCCGGTAAGCAGTGAGGCCGTGCTCCTGAAAGGAAAGCTGCTTAGTTTAGAGCTGTTGGGATTTCCATTGTTTTCTTTTAATTACCTAATCAACACCTTAAAAATATTCATAATGACAGTAATACCTATTTGTGATAGAAAATACGTGACAGGAAAAAGAAATCCTATGTAAGTCAGTCAGAAACATCACTGGCAACTTTGAGCTGAACCTGCTGGTGCCTGTCTGTAATCCCAACACTCTAGGAGGCTGAGGCAGGAGGATGTCAAGTTAGAGCACAGCTGGGTGACTTTACAACTCCGTGTCCTTCTCTCAAAAAAAAACGATAATTTTTGATGTGTGCTATTTTATGATTTTTAGATGTGCAGCTGCCTAGTTTAACCTGACTGTTCTCTGCCAATATGAATTTCCCCCCCTTTGGTTACTGGGATCGAACTCAGGACGTTGTGCTTTCTAGGCAGGCGAGGTACCCCTGAGCTACATCCCTGGCCCCAGTATGAATATTTTTACAGCGTAATTTTAACCTGTCTGACATTCCACTGTCTGACTCATAAGAAGGATGATAATAATAGTCCATGTCCATAAATCTGCCCACTGTGTGTTTTATAGATAAAGTTTTATTGGAACATGGTGCTGCTCACTTATCTGCTCTCTGGCTGAGTTCACACTAAAATTGAGTAGGAACAACAGAGAAATTTATGGCTTGTAAAGTCTGAAATATTTGTGCAGGAAAAGTTTTCATATCCCTGGGCTAGACCAGTGGTTCTCAAAGTATGGCCTAGGGGTCTCTGGATGTCCCCTATTTTTCTTTTAAGGATTCTGAGAAGTATTATTATCATAACAACACTGAAATGTTCTTTATTTACTCATAATTGTCACTCTAATGGCAAACAAATGTATGCTTGTACATATATATGTGTGTGTGTGTGTGTGTGTGTGTGTGTGTATATAGATATATATATATATATGTATTTTTTTTGGTGCTGGGGACTGAATTCAGGACCTTGCACTTGCCAGGCAGGCACAGTGCCACGAGCTAACTCCTGTATATGTATATTTTTGAAATAGGTTTTTGCCATATAGTTCAGGCTGGCCTTGACTTCACTGTGTAGCCTAGGCTGGCCTTAAACTGGCAGCAATCCTCCTGCCTCAGCCTCCTGGGTGCTGGGATCATGGGTGTGCACCACCATGCCTAGCTTGTATATTTTTGTGATTAAAATTTTTCCTTATTTATTCATAATGCAGTAAATATCGACAAACATAACCTATATAAGCAAAGATTCTCTGAGATCCTTAATGATTTTTGAGAATACAAAGGGGTCGTGAGATACAAAGTTTTAAAACCATTTTTCTGGAGGTCTTACAGAATTATTTAACCTCTCAAATGCTGGGGAGGTAGATTATTTTTATAATTTTTCATAAGCAACTTTGAGATGCAGTAGTTTTGTTGATTCTGCAAGGGTGATATCAGTTAGCTTTGACAGACTAATCACTGCAATATTGCTAGGGTAATAAAAGAAAGTTGTAGCAGTTCCCAGGGGAAGAAATAATGTTCATTGTTGTTGACGGTCAAGAACAGTGTGGCCCTGGGCTTAGGGTGACCCCTAGTGGCGGAGCGGCCGCCTGTGGCTGGGTTGGCTGCCCAGGACCTGGGGCTTCTGCCGAAGGCCGTTCACAGACGGACTCGGCCCTGCTCACGCTCAGTCACCGAGCTCGGGAACACTCAGGGAAATGGGACGCCAGAGAGACAGAGGGAGCAGCAGGGTCTGACTCCAGAGGGACGGGATTCCTGCGCTCTGGCCAGGAATCCAAACGCTGCCTCCCTCCGGAGAAGCTCAGAGAGCTCACGACCGCCAGGGGCGGGCCTCCAGGCCGCGAGGGACCGGAAGTGAAAACCTCGGCCGAGACGGGGCGTAGTGAAAGCAAAACGGTGCAGAAAGCCTGGGCGAGACAGCGCTGTCTGGGCTAGAGTGAGGAGGTGCTGGCAGGACACCTGGGGCCTCGACGCTCCTGTGATCTGCTGGCCCCAGGAAGCCTCCCGCAGTTCCCAGCCCCGGGGGTGCGGACCGATTGCCCGTGCTTTCCCGTTTCTTGTTGCTCCTCATCAATCTTGAATTTAATGAGGAAGTGTCCATTTGGTAGTTTTACCGCCAGTAGCCGTGATGGCCTGCATGGTTTAAGGTCCTTTTCTGGTTTCTTTGTTTTCTGAGAGGGTGAGGAGGTGGGGGGTAGGGTCTCATACGTAGTCAAGCTGTCCTCGAACTCGAAGCTTCCTGCCTCAGCCTCCTGAGTGCTGGGTTGCAGGCGTCCCCCACTGTGCCTGGCTGGTTTAAGATCTTACACATCTGCAGTTTCACAGATGATGAAGCTGCAGTTCTGAGAGATGAGAGACTGGGAGCTCTCACAAGACCACTGAGCTCTAGGTTTGGAGCGTGCACCTAGATTTAAAAACGTCCAAGCCAGGCCTGGTGGTACAGGCCTCTGAGAGAACAGGACTGCAAGTTTGAGCCCAGCCTGGGCAAGGTAGCGAGAGCTCGTCTCCAGAAAGGTCTGGGATGCAGCTCAGTGCAGAGGCCCGGGGTTCGATCCCCAGTGCCAGCAAAACAAACAAGAACAAAACCAAACCCAGACCCAGCGATCTTATCTCATGCCGGGCCTGGTGACAGCTCCTCTGTGTGTGGCGCGGTGAGTCGGGAGCTTGCTTCAGAGAGGATCCAGACTCTGAGGTTTTAGGGGACAAGTCCAGGTCCCTGCTTGTGAGGGGAACAGGCTTTCGGGCCAGACCTGGGCTCCAGGAGTGTCCTTGTCTTGTCCTGTGTTTGTAAAGTTATTTCTGGAAAGCAGACATACAGGACAGACTTTCCTCTCGCATTTATTTTTTAAATGTATTTTTCCTTTTTTTTTTCCTCTTGAAAACGTTTGAAGCACAAGGAGTTGTGTCTGGCTTCGAAGTACATCCCACCAGTCCAACCAGTGTGGTCCTAACGTGGAAAAAGGAAAACCCATCGGCCTCGGACTGGTATAGGATAGAGGAGGAGACGAGCAACACAGCCGTTAGCACCCAGCAAACGTGGTACAACGTCACGGGCTTGCGTCCGGCGACTACGTACACGTTCTCCATATCCCTGGGAAGGGGTAACAAGACCTGGGGAAAGCCCACCTCCAAAAATGTCACCACAGGTAAGACCACCGGCTCCCAGCCATGGCCACCAACCATTTCTTATCCCATATCCTGTTGGCTGTAGATCAGAGAGCCAGGAGAGAGAGAGAGTAGGATTTTTGGTTTTTGAGACAGGCTGGCCCAGAACATGCGGCGATCCTCCTGCCTCAGCCTCCCAAGTGCTGAGACAAAGGGCCTGTGCCACCTTTCCCAGCTGGAAGTTCTACCTGTTTCCACCTGTTTTGTTTTTAGAATCTGGATTTGTTATGGTGGCTCACACCTACCTTTCTGTGCTGCCCCTGCTCCTTAGAAGGCTGCTCTGGTGACGTCAGCGTCCCTGGTCTTCTCTGCTCCTCAGGAAGCTGAGGCTGTTTCCAGTGAGCTCCTTAGGAAAGTGTTCTGAGTGAGGTGGGAGCCCTGTGATGCTGGACATTAATTAAGACCAGAGCAGGTGGCTGTGACTGTCGTAGCTTAGAAGTCAGGACCTTCGGCCGCCTCTGACAGCTGCAGATTTAGCTGTTTTTCTTTTTTTTTTAAGCTGAAAGGGCTAAAAATTAAAAACTAGTGACCAACAGATGAGCTGCTTTTTTGAAGGCAAGAAGAACGCAGAGGTCCTCTGTTGGTTTCCTGGCTGGTGGTGTGTGTGAGTGCGTGTGTGCGCGTGCGTGTGTGCATGTGTGTGTGTGTGTGTGTGAACTGTGCGACCTTCCTGGCTGGTGGTGTGTGTGCATGTGTGTGTGTGTGTGAACTGTGCGACCTTCCTGGCTGGTGGAGGCTGCAGAAGCCCGACCCTGGGTCCCATGGCTTGAAGTGAGGTAGGTCCAGCACAGTGTCCCTTCTGGACCCCCGAGGTTTTTCTGGTACCAGGGATCGAATTCAGGACCTGTGCTCGACAGGCAGGCGCAGCTCCACTGAGGCATAAACACCCCTGGCTGGACCACTGAGTTTTTAAAATTTTTACTGATATGCAGAATGTGTTAAGCTTTATACATATAATGGAGCTCAGTGTCTGCTGCATCCCAAGTGCTAACAAAAGCTCTAGTAGTGAAGAATGGCAGCGTGTCATTTTATAATAGTCAGCACTCTGGCTTTTCAAATTTGGTTTTCAGAATTTATCTTCAAGTAAATCTAGTCACGCTTTTAAACACTGCTTTAGGTCACTCCAAGCTTGGCAGTTAACATATGGCATAAACAAGAAAATAATCACAATCTGATGAATAACAGATAGGCCTGGGATTTAGCTCAGTGGTTCTGCCGGTTGCCTGCCTCTCAAGCACAAGGTCCTGAGTTCATTCCCCTGTACCAACACACACACACACACACACACACTCGGGCTGGAATGTACCTGACAGTGAAGGCCCTAGGTAGGTTCAATCTCCAGTACCTCAAAAAGAAAATGAGATAAATAACAGATAACATTGTAGGCCTTAAACACACAGCACAAGGAAATGGCGGTGATGGTGCAAGTCAGTAGTTATGAAGTCACTACAGTACCTTGGCCTCGACGCAGGCCGTTTGAGTCACCCGGCTGGATACCCAGTTTTCAGAGTGGGAGCACAGCCTACAGCATCACTTCTAACACCGCAAACACGTAGAGAATGAGGAATTTGTTTTTATTAATAAATTACACCCTCGGCAGTTATGACCAACACCTTAGTATGAAGATGTTCACATTATATCAGTCATAACTGTGGGCTTACTTTAAAAGGTGCTGAATGGATTAAACGGAGACAGCAGTGCTTCCCCTCATGTGATTGATCTTACCGTGTTTACAGCTTTCGAGACCTACAACACTTCACACTGATGCGCACACTCATATTTCAGCCTGATGTGCTCGACTCTGTTACTCGGTCAACTGCTCATTTTCCCTGAACTTAATGCCCCTCCCCTTTTGGTACCGGGGATTGAACTCGGATCCTTCTGCTTGCAAGGCAGGTGGCACCACTGAGCTAAACCCCCGGCCCTACTCTGAAATTAAAGTTGTAGTATTTAGACCACTGAGTTTTGACATACATTTTTCGGTAGCCAGAAAACTATTTCTTTAGACAGAATATTGCTCCGAAGGCCAACAGTTAAAACAACAGCAGCAGCAGCATAACGAGGGTGGAGGATGCGGCTGTAGTGGTAGAGCGCCTGCCGGGCGTGTGAGTCCTCAGCACTGTCAAACCCAGCCGAGCCACGGTGGAGCGAAGCCATAGAAACGTGTGTGGGTGGTGACTCAGATCTCGCCCCAGAGATATTTGACGTGGGAATCTGGGTACCGGGCAGATCCCCTTGTTTCCGTGTTGGGCGGTGTGGGGTTTCCCTGTTCAGCCCCCAGATCTCTCTGTCTTTTCTCTGTCTCTCTGTCCCTCTCATCCGCTGTGCTTGGGCCCCACTGCCAGCCAGAGCGCGTGCTCCTGGCCGAGCCAGCTGCCCCTGGGCCTGGTCTCCTGAGTGTCATTTTGGCTGACGTGCTCTGATTAATGCCATGCCGGCCACATGAGCCGCCAGCAGCAGGGGCCAGGGAGCGTTCCTGACAGTTGCCTTGGGCCGGGGCGCAGGGCTGCAGCCTCGGTGCCAGCGTCTCTGTGGCATGGCCTTGAAGGGAGGCCTGAGATGCGACAGACGGTGACTCCTTTTGCGACTCTGCCCTTGATGTCTGAAGCAACTGTCATTAGAGGCTGCTGTCTGGGCACACTTTGAAGCAGAGGTTAAGTCACTGTGGGTTCGTCTCGGAGACCGGTACAGGCCCTGAGTGATCTTGGTCTTGAGGTTCACTCCTTCCCCGTCCTCCGAGCTCCCCCTACGTGGTGTTGGAGGCCTGGGTGCTCACTCCGGCGTAGTGGACATGTTCTCGGTGATCACGGAAGCCGACGCCGAGCCCGTGCTTGTCCCCTGTGTCTGTCCGCAGAGCCTCTTCCGGTGTGGGGCCTGCGCGTGGCCTTCATGGGGCGCACACAGGTTGTCCTCACCTGGGGCAGCGACAGCAGCACTGCCTCCTGCCGGCTGCTTCTTGAGAGCATCGGAAGCCAGCAGATGCTGACCAGCATTCCAGACCTGCGGCCCGGGTTTCAGCGAGTTATTCTCAGTCTCCCAGGATCGGACGAGGCGCAGAGCGAACCCCCGGTTACCCCAAGTGGCTCAGGTGAGATTTGACTTCCTGTAACTTAGCAGATTTAAAAAATATTGTTCTTGGGTTGTGTCGGCTTCAGAGGTAGAGAGGTGGTTAGGGCCCTCGCTGTTTACAGAAGGAAGGAGGCGCCCGGTGCAGGACGGCGGAGCTTGGCGCCCAGGGAGGCGGAGGGCCTGGAGCTTTGCTCTTCCGCTGCCACACAGCAGGCCCTTGCGGGGTCCGTGAGGAGCGCACCCCATCCCGTTAGGAAAGGGGCACCAGCGGGCAATGTGCTGATTCCGCTGTGTGTCCGGTGAGGTGAGGAGGGCACGGACGTAGGCCCCACTTCCCCTGAGGGGACCGAGCTACTGAGTGGTGTCAGGGCTCTTGACTGCGAGAGGCAGACGGAAGCCAGACTTCACACGACTTCCACTAAGAGTGTGCCCGGCACAAGACGGCCGCTCTCAGCTCTCCTCTCTGCGGCCCTGCCTCCGTGCGGCCGGGGGAAGTGATCCTCCAGTGGGCTTTTCTTAGCCAAGTTGGAACCACGGAGCTGGCCCTGGAAAACCCTGTTGGGTTGGGAGAAGATCCTGTCCCAGAGGAGGAAAATGGTCCATCATGGGTGTGGTGGTGCACACCTGTCATTCCAGCGCTTGAGAGGCTGAGGCAGGAGGATTGCTGTGAGTTTGAGGCCAGCCGGGGGTACATAGCAAAACCCAGTCTCCAAAAAACAAAATACATAAAACATGGTCCAAACTAGCAGAGTGGAGAGAGGCACAGCGTGTCTGGGTGTCCTAAGCGGAAGGACAAAGTGAGATACGGGGTGTTCCGGAGAGCAGACCGCTCCCGGGGAGGCAGGAGCAGGTGTTTGCGGGGTGTCGCCCTGGCCCGAGGGTGTGTCATCGGGTGGTTGAGGTCCTTCTCTCTGCCATGACAGGTGCCGGTGGCATAGTGAGCAGCACCCCCATCCCTGCGTATTGGAGCCTGGAGCACACAGGCCTGGACTCCGACCTGGAGACCCGAGACACAGAAGTCCTGATCGCGGGGCTGCAGCCCGACGCGCACTACAGCGCCGCTGTGTACCCTCGGGCGGCGGACAGCACAGAGGGACAGCCGCGGGGCGTGGAGTTCCAGACAAGTATGTGCGCTCGCTCTACCTCCCTGGGGTGGGAGCTGCCTCGCTGAGCAGCCAGCCCCGTCCTGGGAGAGACTCTGGACCTTGGGGACCCGGGGAGCCCTGTCCTGCTTGGCCTCTGTGGTGTGGGAACTCAGGAGGACGTGGGCAGCTGCTTCCTGTGTGTCACCCCTGCCTCTGAGAGGAGCTGCAGTCGGCTGGTGCGATACTTCAGCATGGGCAAATCTCCCCCTTTCTGGCCTCCTTCAAAATCTGTGCTCGCTTTCTGTCGCCGTCCACTGCGGTGCTCAGGGCCGAGTCCTCCTGACTCTTCAGTCTCAGCTCTGGGACCCCGCTGGGATTCACGGGTGTCTTGGCCCTACCCCATGGCCGAGACACCGTGCCCAGCACCCAGGCTCCCAAGAGGAGAGGTTGGTTTTGGTTCAGGGTTTTGGTCCAGGGCTGGCTCCCAGGCAGCCAGGAAGTGGGGAGGGGGGACCCGAGCACCCAGGGGACCCCTCCGCCAGGCCCCCTTCTGAGGGCTCAAAGCTGACTTCGCCATGAGGGTGGTGCCCACATGGGAGGCTTTGGCTTGGTGCTGATGAGAGAGAACAGAAATGCACAGTCCTTGCTCCCAGGAGCCTGCACTGGGGACAGGGGACTCAGTGTGTTGAGCACATGGTTAGGCCCCGTGAGCCTAACCATGGGACAAATGTCTCAGTGTCACCACCCTGGGGGCTTGGTGGCAGGAAGTGTGAACCAACTGGGATCCCCTTACCAAGCAAGGCTGGCATGGGCTCCATGAACTGAGGCCCTAAAGTTGGAGGCTCGCAGAGCGGGAACAGAAAACAGCCTGGCACCAGGAGACCCTGGAAGGCTGGGCCACACTCATCCAGGGACAGCCTCAGATTCACAGTCCCTGGGGGGAGAGTGTTTCACACACCTGCTGGCCTGGTGGCTGTGCTGGGAGAGGGAGGTGCTGTCCCCCAGCAGCTGTGGGTGACAGCCCTTCCTACCCAGGAACTTGCAAGCACTGTAGGCTGCTGAGGCAGAAGAGTCACAAGTTTGAGCCCAGCTTGGGAAACTAAATGATTTAGCAAGACTCTGTCTCAAAATAAAAAATAAAAAGGGCTGGGGGTGTAGGTGAGGGCAAAGGCCCTGGTTCAATGCCCAGGCCCATGAAACCAAACCAATCCAACCCAGCCCAACCCAAACAAAAACTACCCAGCGGCACCCAGCTGGGAGGGTGGCCTAGGGTCCCAGGCCCCAGATGCTGAGGACTGGAGATGGAATGAGGGAAGGCGGGGTAAGGAGGGAGTGAATTTGGTGACATCCCGAGGACACTGCTTGTTCCAGAGGCCTGGGTTTAATTTCTGGATGATGCTAGGTGTGAGAATGATCTCTCCCGTGCTCTTAGAGAAAGGAGAGCAGTGGGGCTTAGGAACCCTGCACATGTCCAGACCAGACTGGAGAACCCAGGCAGGAAGTTGGTGAAGGTCAGGCCAGCCAGAGGAAGAACAGCTTTCCTGGTATCTGCCTGGGTCGCCTCCCTTCTTTCCTTTCCTCTGGTAACGCGCACGGTGTAGGAGAGATGCTCAGGAGCTGCCCCGAGCCGGCGGATGGCAGGGGGCACAGCTTGGTCCCCAGAGGGGAGTTCTGAGGAGGAGGCAGGGCTGCTGCATGGGGCTGTGGGCTGTGGAGGGTCCCCCTTGGTTGACAGGCGAGGGATTGCCCTTACCTGTCAGGCCCGGGCCGGGTCCCTCCAGAGGAAGGTTTGGAGTGTTCCCCACAGGATCACTGTGAGTCTTGCTCCCCATGGTAGCCATGTTCAGAGGTGGGGGAGATTGGATCACGAGGACTCGATTCTCATCCGTGATTAATTAATTCATTGATGGATCAATACATGGATTAATAAATGGATTCCTTCATTGACAGGTTCACAATTTGATGGGTCATGTTGGGAGGCAGTGGGAACTTAGGAAGTGAGCCTAGCTGAAGGGAGAGGCCCTTGGAGGAGTGGCCTTAGGGGCTGTATTTTGTCCCTGGCCCTGTCCTTCCTCTGCTTCCTGGGCTCCATGAGGTGAGCCTCTTTCCTCCGCCACCCCTTCCACTTCCACACAGGCCCAGGGATGAGGGAGCCAGTCATGGACGGAAACTGTGAAACGTGGGCCAGAGAAGTGATTTTCTCAGGCATTTTGTCACAGGGTTGAAGCACTGATGGACGCAGGCCTTCTTGACTTGCTAAAAGGGGTCCTGTGGGTTAGTGTGGGCCTTAAGTTAAATTGCTTTTTAAAGAAATTTACATGAAAGTAAAGAAGTAATGATTGTATCTCAGGCTCTTGGTGGTCTGAATACAAACATATCCTGGCATGTGTTTAAATAGCTTAGCACTTCATAAATAATTATTGCATATCCTGTTTTGTGTATGTGAGAGAGAGAGAGCGCAAGCACACACAGTTTAGTCAGTTTTGGCTGCCATAACAAGTTACCAAAACCAGGGCAGCTTTCAGCCTGTGAGTGTAGAGGGACAAATATTCAGCCTGTTGCAATACTCACACATATGTACACAGGCACGTACGTGCGATGTGTGTGCACACTCACGCACACACGCACACTCACGCACACACCCCTAGTGCCTGGCATTCTGTAGGTGACTGGCGAGGTGCAGCAGGGTCAAGGACACCTGGAGCCCAGTATCTTAGTTACCTTTTCTCGTGGCGGAGACAAAATACCCGAAATGCAGAGTTAGAGGAGGAAAGCTTTATTTAGCTCACAGTTTGTAGGGGTTTCAGCCCAGAATTGGCTGGTTACAGGGCAGGGTGGCACAGCAGAGGGGCACTGCAGAGGAGAAACAGTTCATGGCAGGCAGAAGGCAGCAAAAGCAAGCGAGCAGGGACAAGGGACAAGCCTCTTTCTGTCCCTTGTCTTATCCAGGCTATGCTCACACCCGTAACCCTAGCACTGCACCATGAATCAATCCCAGCGTCACAGACCCTAGATCCAGCCACCTCTGAGAAGCTCCCCCACGACCCCATGAGGCACTGGGGGACAGCTAGACAGAGCCCTAACACCCTGCAAGAGTGGAGCCTGGGAGGACGCGTGACCGGCAGGGGTGATGGATCTGGACCTCAGCCCGGGTCGTGTCACTCAGTGGCTCCTGCTCCCTGGTGCTGCATCGTGTGGGGCTCGGCCTCCTGGGGCACAGGGAGGGGCAGGGTGAGCCATGTTCCTGCCGACCCTGTCTTTGGGGTAGGATTGTCACCCATTTCAGGCACCAAGAAGTTGAGCTTCTTGCCGGGCAGTGAACGCGTGGCTGGCCCGGAAGCACGTGTGTGACCCGCATTCATGGTGGAAGGGCGGCGTCACACTCAGGCACATGGCTGGGGACGCTTCTGGTCGCTGTGCCAGGGCAGGGCACGCGATGGTCCCTGTAGCGTTGAGCGTGGAGCGTCATTTCCTGGACAGGCAGCTCACGGGGCCCAAGGGTCGCCTGGGCGGGCTTGTGGCCGGGACCCATGTTGGCGCCTGGTCCTGGGTGAATGGGGACGAGGGGTGGGCGCTGAGTGGTTCACAGGCTGCGTGGCGCACGCTGGTGACCGCGGTCTCCCCTCCTGGCGCGGCCATCTTTGTCTTCGCAGACTCCGAGCAGGTGTTTGACATCAGGGCCGTGAATGTCAGTGCCACGAGCCTGGGCCTGGCCTGGAAAATGCGGCACAGCGGGTCGTCCTCTGCCTACACCTATGGGGTCCACGTGGCCGGGGACGCTGAGTCCTTCAACCTCACCACCCAGGAGCCTTGCGCCGATGTTGCCGAACTCAGCTCGAGCACCCTGTACCGCATCACCGTGCACCCCCTGCTGCGAGGGGCGGTGGGCACGCCGGGGTTCCTGCAGGTGTACACCCGTGAGTTTGCCGCTGCCTCCTGCCCGTCCTGCGTGGTAGCCTCGCAGGTCCCTGGGGCCCCCTACCCCTCAGGGCGGGGGACAGAAGAACAGCTGCCCTTGCCCACGCGCCCCGCAGCCCTGTGATGTGGGTGGCGTTCGCCCCTTCTTTTGGCCGAAGAAGCCAAGGCGGGGAGAGGGGCTGTAGGCGTGTGTCACACGGGGACAGCGGAGGCCAGGTGAAACCTCTGCTCTGTCCCTGCTCCTGCCCGGGAGTGTCAGCTCTTCTGCTGGGGTAGGGACCAGGGGGAGAAGGAGGACCCGGGTGCTCACGTCCTGGTGTCCCTGGAACGTCGGTGGTGGAAGGGAGCGGGTTGCTTACGTGTCCCGTAAGGGTGAGCTGGTCGGTGGGCCGCAGGCACAGCACTTCCTGTTGGAACGCAGGTCACAGTGTGGCGTGGCGCTGGAGTAGGGCCTGGGTGCACGGCCGCGTGGCCGCCGGCACTGCAGTGGTCTTCAGGGTAGGCGCTGGGCTCCTGTTACAGATGAGAAAATGTCAGCCCAGCACGGCTGAAAATTGGCCCAAGTCCACTGAGCCAGCAGATGGCAGAGCAGGGTCTGGGACCCAGGAGTGCCTGGTGCAGGGCCCGGGCTCACCCTGCAGGAGTCCCTCAGCCAGGAGCCTGGGTGTCCCAGCCCACACTTGCCTGCTGCCTCCTTACCTGGTCTTCTGTGCTGGCTCTAGGGAGAAGATGAGATCTGCTTACATTTCTTCACCTTTGGCTTTTTTTTGGGGGGGTACTGGGCATTAAACTTGTTTTGGGGGCCAAGAGCAGCCTGTGCTGCCCCCCTGTAAACAGAGGCTCAGGGAGGCTCAGAAATGCATCAGG